CCTCTTCTTTCTCCTCCTCCTCCTCCTCCTCGTCCTCTTTCTCCTCCTCCTCCTCTTCCTCCCTTCCTCCTCCTCCTCCTCCGCCCTTCCTCCTCCTCTTTCTCCTCCTCTTCTTTCTTCTCCTCCTCCTTCATCCTTCCTTCTCTCGGAGGAGGCAAAGGTGCCCATGCCTCTACCCCCTCGCCCGTTTTCTCCTCTCTGGGCCTCCCGGAGGGCCCTCATCGCCACTGCTGGATGCGCCTCGAAAAATCCTGGTCGGATCGCATCCCGGGAGAGGTCCAGGGGAAGGTACCTGTTGGCTTCCCCATCCTCACCCCTTGGGCAGCCGGAAGAGCCGAATGGTGAGCGGCCGAAGCGCGACCGGCGGGCTCGGGGATCACCGGAGAGCGGATCTCGGAGCACGGGGGGCCTATCTGGCCGTTGTGGGAACCGCTGGGGGAAGGGGGGAACAGCTGTCGGGATCCAGCAAAAGGGGTGTGTGCCCTGGTGTGTGTGTGTGAGAGAGAGAGAGAGAGAATTCGATCGGTTTTTGCATCGAATCGCCCAAAACAGGTGCCCCCCAGCCGCCAGCAGCTCCCGATAGTCGCCGACGGGTGGGGCATGCGGGAGGCATCTGTTTGCGGCGGTTCGGTGCACCAGCGGATCGAATTCATGCCCCCCCAGGGTCACCAACTCTTTGGTGGATCCCGAATTTGGGGGTGGCATCCTTGTTTTGTATGAGGGCATCAGAGAACCTCAGTGGGGGTTCTGGGGCCCACCGCTGTCGTCTGGGGGTTCCCTTGTGCTGTCGTGGTGGCCTCGGGCAATCTCGGCATCTGGATTTTTCTAGGGGGTCTCACAGGCCCTCTTGGAGCACTGTTGGACTACTCTCTCGGGTGCTCTGTGTTAGAACCACTGGGGCCCTCTTAGAGGGTTCTGGGGCACCTTCAGGTCCTCTTGGCAATATTTGGTGGCCTTCGGCTCATCCTTCCACAATGCATGGGCAGTAGGTCGGAGGCCTCTTATATGCCTTTGGAGATCTCTTGTGATGCCTGCCCTGGGCCTCTTCGGGCCCGATAGGGCCTCTTGGAGGCCTCTTGGGGCTTCTCGGGGGCCTCTTGGGGGCCTGCTGGCAGTTCCGGGGGTCACCTTGGGGCGGAGGACTCCAACATGCGATTCAGGTTCCCCCTCTTCGGGCTCTCTTGGGGCCCTCTTGGGCAGTCTTTGGGGGCCCTCTTGGGCAGTCTTTGGGGCTTCTGAGGCTGTCTTGGGGCCCTCTTGGGCCGTCTGGGCGCCCTCTTGGCCAGAAGGGGTTTTGCCCCACCTGCCGCCAACATTGTGCCAGGCATGCCTCCACAGGTCCAGGGGCGCGAAGTGCGCGCAGAGGTTTTGGACGCTTTACCATCCTCTTCCTCCTCCTCGTCCTCCTCCTCCTCCTCTCCTCCTCCTCCGCTCTCTCCGTCTCCTCCTTCTCCTCCGTCTCCTCCGTCTCCTCCTCCTCCTCCTCCTCCTCCTCCTCCTCCTCCTCCTCCTCCCGCCTCCGTCTCTCTCCTCCTTCTCCTCCTCCTCTCTCTCCTCCTCCTCCTCCTCCTCCTCCTCCTCCTCCTCCTCCTCCTCCTCCTCCTCCTCCTCTCTCTTCCTCGTCCTCCTTCTCCTCCTCCTCTTCCTCCTCCTCCTGCTCGTCCTTCTCCTTCTTCCTCCTCCTCCTCCTTTTTCTCCTCCTCTTTTTTTGTTGTTTTAATATTTTGTTTCTTTCTTTTCTCGGTTGCCGAGGAGCTTTCCCACCGTGCTCCCTCGCTCGCCCTCCGCCCGATGGGGCCGCCCCCGCCGCAGGGAGCTTGGCAGGGCCGCTCGCCACGCGGCCTCTCTGCAGGGGCCGGCGGCTTACGCCAAGGATAAGGCACACGACGCCGCGCAGGGCTCCGGCGAGGGCATCATTGGCTTGCTCGAGGCCCGCCCGCGCGGAGGGCCCTGAGATCCGACGCTTCAACAAACATTTCGAGCAGGCGTTTTTTTGTTTGTGCCGTTTTCGGCCCCTGGGGGCCCTCGCGGGGCCTCGGGAGCGTCAGAGAAAGACTCAGGACGAAAAACTGGCCCTGGAGGAGGAGGGGGAGGAGGAGGAGGAGGGGGAGGAGGAGGAGGAGGAGGAGGAGGAGGAGGAGCAGGACAAGCAGGAGGGGGAGGAGGAGGAGGAGGAGGAGGAGGAGGAGGAGGAGGAGGAGGAGGAGGAGGAGGAGGACAAGCAGGAGGAGGAGGAGGAGGAGGAGGAGGAGGAGGAGGAGGAGGAGGAGACGACTCAGGACGAACAGCCGGCCCTACAGAAGTGGTCCGGACCTCTGGGGCCCATGCATCGACGAGAATTAGAGCAGGTGGATGCCTGGGGAGGATGGGCCGCGTCTGCATGTGGCGTGATGCCTCCCTGCCTTCGGCAGCGCTGGGGGGCCACGTGTGCCAGGCCTTCGCTGGCACGACACGGCCATTGCTCTGCCGTTTCCGCTTTTTGTTCGTAGGTTTTCGTCACAGTCTGTTTGATGTTTCCGTTGCTTCTGGCCCCGGATCCGGTTCCAATCCTGGAGCCGTTCTTTTGCCGTTTCTTGTCGCCGTTTTTGGCCACTTCCAGTTTCAAGAGAAGCTTTCGGAAGCGGCGACGGAACGGCCTTACCGTTAAGCGCCAGGCACACGACGCTGGGCCGTGTCGACCAGACAGACGTAAAAGCAAAGACAGCAGGGCATATCATACACAAATTGAATGGCCGCCTTGTTTGACGATCCCCTTCTTCCTAGGAAGGTACGCAGAAAGGACCGCATCGTACATGCAGGTAGATACGATCACGCCTCCCGCGCGCACAAGCATCAGTACAGCACACGACAGCAGGTGCGTGCACAAATGCGCTCTAGCCAGGAGGCACACCTTACACACTCACGCAGCTTCGCTCGCAGACGCACGCAGGTGTGCGCATTGTGCGCAGCAGGTGGAGCACAATACGCACCGCAAGACATTGCAGCGCGCGGCGCAACATCCAGCAGTGGACGCCCATCGCGCACCTTGGAGCGTGCAAAACAGATGCATGACGCATGCCGCATGCGCAACGTAACGCGTAACGCGCAGCACCTGGTCCGCATAACGCGCCAGTATCCAGGTGCAGGCACAGACTCGGAGGCAAGAGCTCAAACTCGTGAGCGCAAGTATTCACAGGAGTATCGGATGATGCAGACCTGGAGCAGTCCGAGTCTGCGCGCGGCAGAGCTGCCTGCCTGGGGCGCGTCCTTGAGTACTAGTACCATGCTGTTCGCAGAAAGAGTCGTTACTCTCAAGGTTGCCGCTTTGTACCGCGCGTGCTTTTCCACATGTCAGTGGTTCTTGTTCGGAGAGAACCAGCTGTATTTTCGAGGGGAAGGTGCGTACGCGCGTGCTGTAGTCGTTGGTGCGTGCCCCTCCTGCGCCCAGGTCTGCGAGAGCGACTTCTCCAAGGGCCTTGCCGAGTACGTCGGCGCGGAGCAGAGCGCTGTGTCCGAGTACGAGCAGCAGACGAAGGACCACGAGGTGGAGACGGCTACGAAACAGCAGGAAAGTCCCGGCCCCTTTCTTCTTGTTTCGGTTACAGTGCTGGCTGCGGCAGAGAGCATGTACACCAGGTCCCCCGCAGTGGCCCGGAAGTAATCGCACTTCGCGTTCATCGGTCTAGGTCACTTTCGTTGTCCATGTTTACCGCGCGAGAGAACGGAGATAATCGCGAAGCGCGAAATTGGATGAGTTAGGTGTTCAACGGCTGGCGTACCACTCCGCGTGGCCGTCCAAGGTCAGGGCCGGCGGAGTACACCAGTCGGAGGGTGATGGGAAGACACGTGGTTTTTTTTTGGTCACCGTTCAGAAGCAGACAGCATGGAGCCTGCAGCGTTCGACCTAAGCATTTTCTATTATCATGCAATAAGGTTTAGTCTGTCCTCGTTGGTGAATTAGTTGTGCCATCATGCGCAGCTGGCGTCTATCCAGTGGTACCTATGTGTGTACAACATCCTTACCCTATGTGATGGTGCGTTGTGATGGAAGAGGCCGAACATGTAAGTTTCATGTGTGATCAATCGCCCCTGCGGTTACACTTGTAGACTTCAGCTGCACTACGTGATGACATATTCCATTTGCGGTATTCAAATTTCGAGTGTACGTAGGGTTCTTGAATCTGTATATATTTGTTCGCAGGCAGGGGCGGTGACATCCACCCAAGACAGAGCTTGTCGTTTCTTTCCCTGCTTACCTTTGTTACGGTCTCCATTGATATCTCTCAGGATGTCAAGTACAAGACGAAGGACTGGGAGGGACGGGCCGAGCCAATTCGGCGTTGTAGGCCTCACAGCCTTTCGACGTTCGGTCTGCGTCATGCATCTCGTTTTCCCTGAACATCGAATTCTGTATGGGGCACACCAAGCCGTGATTCCGCTTTCGCGCAACCCATGTCTGGATAGTGGATTGAGCCGCAGTGCCGCTTGCGCGAAACCTCTGGCGCAACCCAGACAGGGCGGACCACACCGTGACTCCGCCTGCCTGCCTGCGCGCAACCAATGGGGCCACACGGCGCATCCGCCAGCGCCCGATACCACCACCATTGCACACTGAACGTTCCGACTGTGACTACCGCCCGTAGTATCGCTGTCACAGTCACTGCCACTCTCACTTCCACTGCGAGGCATGCAGCTGGCTTGGCCAACTGGCCCTGTTGCTCGCTCGATGGTTCCAGCAAGCTGTGTAGTTCAGCTCGCTCGAGTGTGACACGATCTGCCCCGTGCTCGCGTGCCTGAGTCTCGAGCACCGCCACCACCGTTCCTGCCACTCCTGCCACTAGCAGCAGCACGATTCACAATGCACGATGCACCATGCACGAGGCGTTGTGGATCGAGGCTCCTCCGCGGACAGCCCGGAGCAGGCACGACACCAGCCCTGCGTGCCCCTGCGCAGATCTCGCGCGCGCGACCCCCCCATCGCTGCTCGGCCGCTGCTGGTCTGGGCCAGCGCGGGCAGCCAGCTCGGTCGGGGCCCACTTGAATGGGGTGGAGGGGGGGGCCTCTTCGTGCTCTCCCTCTTCCTCTCCCCCCTTGCCTCATGCTTCTCATTCCTCACTCTTCGTCCTCGTCCTCCTCGTCCTCGTCGCAGTGCACCTCGTCGTGGTGGTCGTCGTGGTGGTGGTGGTGGTCGTGGTCGTCGTGGTCGTCGTCGTCCCTCCCAGATGGGAGGGAGGGCTCGACGGCTTTGGGAGGGGAAAGGGTTCCAAGGCGTTCCATGGGACATCGAGTAGGGAGGAGAAGGAGGAGGAGGAGGACGAGGAGGAGAAGGAGGAGGAAGATGGAGGAAGAGGACAGAGGAGGAAAAGGAGGGGGAGGAGGAGGAGGAGGAGGAGGAGGAGGAGGAGGAGGAGGAGGAGGAGGAGGAGGAGGAGGAGGGTAGGGCAGAGGAGGAGGCGGAGGCGGGATTCAGATGAGGTAGGAGGTAGGAAGAACACTCTCTTCGGGCGGCCTCTCAGCTTGTCCTGAAGGTCGCTCTGTTTGGCGCACACTGTCGCGTGGCCCGAGCATTTGGTGGTCATTTATCGAGAGACGGTGATCGTCGCGTACTTGACATGTGACATGCGCTACAGAGCTTGCTAGGGGAGCGCGCGTTTCCATCATCCTGGGAACGGTGATGCCGACGGCAAGCTGCCATGGCTGCGCAAAGGCTGGATGACGAGGAGGAATGTAGAAGAGGGTTGAGGAGGAGGAGGAGGAGGAGGAGGAGGAGGAGGAGGAGGTGAACGGACGTATTTGCGAGAGAACATCATTCATGCGCCTTGCAATGCTGTCCACCGACTGCCAATCAATGCCGCGTCCCACATCTTTACAACCAACTCGCCCGTTCTGCCACTTCAGACACCCCGCCATGACAACCCATACGCCTCATCCTCTGCCTCCGCCTCCCCTGGCAGTTGCATCCTCGTCTCTATGCCCCTCCTCCTTCTCCTATCGAAGTATCCTCCCCCCTCCCCCTCCCCATTCTCCTCCGCCTCCTCCTCCTCCTCTTTCTCCTCCCCCCCGCCTCCTCCTCCTCCTCATCTTCATCATCCTCATCCGACTCATCCTCATCCTCCTCCTCCCTCCCTCTCATCTTCCTCCTCCTTCCTCCTCCCTCCCCCTCCCTCCCCCTCCTCTTCCTCCTCATCCTCTTCCTCCTTTTCCGCCCGCTCCTCGTCCTCCTCCTCCTCCTCCTCCTCCTCCTCCTCCTCTTTCTCCTTTTCCCTCTTCCTCATCCCCCTCGTCCCCCTCCTAAGACACTCGACGCCGGGATATGTGCACAACGTGGGCCCAGAATATCCGGACGACTTCCCGGGGCCGACTGTTCATCCCCCTCTCCTCCTCCTCCTCCTCCTCCGCTCTCCTCCTTCCTCCTCCTCTTCCTTCTTCTCCTCTCCTCCTCCTCCTCTCCTCCTCCTCATCCTCATCCTCATCCTCCTCCTCCTCCTCCCCCTCCCCCTCCCCCTCCCCCTCCTTCTCCTTCTGCTCCTTCCTCGGCCTCCTGCTGCGCCTTCCTCCCTGCTCCCCCTTGGCCCGCGCGGTCGAGCCCCGATCCTTCCCCCAGAACAGGCCCTGCTCCAGGCCGCCCGCCCGCCCGACCCCTGGCCCCCGCCCTCCGTGACGGGAGCGTGTCTCTGGGTGGTTGCGGAGCGTTGCTCGGAGGAGGAGGAGGAAGAGGAGGAGGAGGAGGAGGAGGAGGGGGAGGAGGAGGAGGAGGAGGAGGAGGAGGAGGAGGAGGAGGAGGAGGAGGAGGAGGAGGAGGAGGAGGCGGCGGCGGCGGCGGCGGCGACGGAGGCGGAGGAGGCGGAGGCGGAGGAGGAGAAGGAGGAGGAGGCGGAGGCGGAGGCGGAGGCGGAGGCGGAGGCGGCGGAGGCGGCGGAGGAGGAGGAGGAGGAAGAGGTGGAGGAGGAGGATGAGCAGGTTCAGGAGCAGGAGCAGGAGCAGGAGCAGTTTCAGGAGCAGTTGCAGGAGGAGGAGAAGGATGTGGCGGAGGAGGAGGAGGAGGAGGAGGAGGAGGAGGAGGAGGAGGAGGAGGAGGAGGAGGAGGAGGAGGAGGAGGAGCCTGCGAGGTCCTTGCGCTGCCCTGCCCCCTGAAGGCAACAAAACACACGCTGCTCCCCTGGGCCCCGGGAGGAGCGGTCCAGCCAGAATCTGCGCGCACATGTGCTCAGTGTCAGCGCCCTTCCCCCCCTTGCCATGCGCGGCGGCGAGGGAGGGGGGGAAGTTTCGGGTTCGAAATTCGAGGCTCTCGGGCGTTTCGAGTTTGTTTGAAGGCAACAAAACACACGCTGCTCCCCTGGGCCCCGGGAGGAGCGGTCCAGCCAGAATCTGCGCGCACATGTGCTCAGTGTCAGCGCCCTTCCCCCCCTTGCCATGCGCGGCGGCGAGGGAGGGGGGGAAGTTTCGGGTTCGAAATTCGAGGCTCTCGGGCGTTTCGAGTTTGTTTTTTTAGACTCGGGCACGTTTCCTTGCATGGCGTTCGGCCCCCCCCCCTCGCCCCTCCTCTTCAAACGAATAGGAATACTAGCGTGCAAATGCCTTTCGGCTTGCGTGATCTCCGCACTTGCCAGTCGTTTGCGCCTTGCTTCAGGTCCAGGCCCCCCCCCGTCCATGCAAGTTAACTTGACTTGCCAGGGTCTAAAAACAGGCTCTTTCGTAGTTTCTTGACGGTTTTCCACCTTCGGAATGCGTTCCAGCGGCTGCGCCTCGTCGAGAGCGTTCTGGGGGTGCCTGGATCGTCCCGAACGGCCGCCAGAGACCCGAGTTATGACCCAAAACCCAAATCGGTGGTGCGCCCAGGGGGGGAAGTGAGAGGGAGAAGTGTTTTCTGTGCCTTCGGGGAAGACTTAGAGAACTTTTAGGCCGGGGGACTTCCGAGCTTTCTGAGAAGGCCTGCCTTTTCTCACTTCCCCCCGGGCTCGCCGCCGAGCATAGTGGGCGTCTCTCCCCCCTGCTACCCCTCCCAGGTCTTTGCAGGCCCAAGAGAAGCTGTGCCCCAGAGGCTTACGCCATTCTCTCCCGATCCTGCGTTGCTCGTAACGGGGCAGCGTGGTCTGTGGGGCCATCAGTGTTCAACATGCAGAAGAGGAGGAGGGGGCGGAAGAGGAGGAGGAGGAGGAGGAGGAGGAGGAGGAGGAGGAGGAGGGGAATGAGGAGGAGGAGGAGGCGGTGGAGGAGGAGGAGGAGGAGGGGGGGGAGGAGGAGCAGTAGGAGGACCAGGAGGAATAGGAGGAGGTGGCAGAAGAGGAAGAGAAGGAGCAAGAAAACTGCCCAGGCTTCCCAGATGGGGCACCGAGTAGATGGTGCCAGGTGCCGCAGGATCGCGCAACATCGCCGATGCATGTGCGGATTGACGTGGAGCCAGAATTTTCCCACGTTGATGGCGCCGATGCATCGCCACTATCGCCACTGCATCGGGGAGGCATGTGTCAGATTCGGGCTAATGGGTCATTTGCAAAGGGGGTCTCCAAAATGTATGCAACAGTTCGTACAATCGTTCGTGCTGGATCGTGCCGGATGCGGGCAGGATGCGTTGCGTTTGGCCTCGCTTGTCCGTGAGAGCGGCCACGCGCCATGAGCAACAAGGTGATCTATTGCAATTGTGTTTGCGACCCCACTACGAAAGACCCCCTTTGCCTGGAATCAAATGTGGCGATGCGGCGCGATCCCTCGACCCCATCTGCTCGGACGAGGAGGAAGTAAGTTCAAGCTTCACTCCGTGTTGGTGCTCTGTGTGAAATGGGTGGGTTTGAACGTCCCCTCCTCGTGCGCAGCCTCGTTCTCCTCCTCCTTCCTCTTCCTGTGTTCCTTTCTTCTTGTTCCCATCCTCCTCTTCCCCTTTGAGAGCATGTGGCGGGCCTGTTGGGATTACTTCGTGACCTCTTGGGGGCCAGATCGGCCTCGCCTGTGTGGGCCTCGAGGCCGTCTTGGGCGCGATGGTTGCCCCGAGTTCTCCACAAGAAACTCTGTTTTGAACGATCTTGGAGACGTCCAGGCGGGGCTGCCTTAGAGAGCGGATGGGCCATATTGGGGGCGATCTGTGGCAATCAAGGGCGTGTCTTGGGGTGCTCTGGGAGCCGTTCTGGACCGTCTGGGGAGCTCCTGACCAGACGGCCTGGAGAGCAAGTGGAGCCGTTCCAGGTCTCGCGGGAACCATTGTGGCGAATTCGGAGATCATCTTGGGGTTTGTAGATTCGAGTCGGTTTCTGCAGGTCGGGATAGGCGCCAGGGAGCTCGTGCAATCACCCTCCCCCACGATGTGTTTTGGG